TCCAGGAGCCGGGGAGCGGAGGGGGATCTGTGCCCGGGGGGTCCCGTGGCTCAGCGAGAGGCCGAGGCCTCCACGGAGGAGGAGGAGGAGGAGGAAGTGCTGGCCTTGGAGCTGCCCGAGGAGGACAGCGAGGAGGAGGAGGAGGAGGAGGAAGGCGACGAGGAAGAGGGGGAGGAAGTGCTAGGACTGGAGCTTTCCGAGGACCACAGCGCGGAGGAGGATGGAGGAGGCAGTGAGGAGTCAGAGGAGGAGGAGGATGAAGGCGGGGAGCTGTCCATGGAGAGCGACCTGGAGGAGCGCGGCCACGACACTGAGGTGCCCCACGAGCTCTCCTGGGGCCAGCGCAAGCAGCTCTACTACGACACGGACTACGGCAGCGATGCCCGGGCCAAGGCCAAGCGCAGCCGCCAAGAACTCGATGCCGAGGAGGAGGAAGAGGAAGAGGAGGCCCAAGTAATCCAGAAGCGGTTGGTGCAGGACTTGGGGGAGGATGACTATGGGCTGGATGTGATCCAGGGTTACCTGGCAGAGCAGCAGAAAGCCCATCAGGCTGACAAAGGGCAGAAGATTGCCAAGGATTTTCAGGCCCTTTCCAAGAAAGAGCAGCTGAAGCTGCTGAAGCAGGAGTCCCCGGAGCTCCTGCAGCTGCTCGAGGACTTTGAGGTCAAGTTAATGGAGCTCAAGGATGAACTACACCCACTGCTGCAAATGATCAAAAATGGCACAATCCCGCAAGGGAAAGGCAGTCGCTATCTGCAGACCAAGTATCATCTCTACCTGAATTATTGTGCCAATATCAGTTTCTATTTGGTTTTAAAGTCAAAGAGGATGCCAGTTCATAGTCACCCTGTTATCGAAAGACTGGTTGATTACAGAAATATAATCAATGATCTAGCTGTTGTAGATGAAAAGTTATCCTCAGAAGTTCGTCTGCTTCTGAAAAAATATTACGACAAGAAGGAAGATAGACCACGAGAACAGAAGAAGTTTGCAGTGCTTCTTCCGCAGGCTGCTAATAAAAACAAACCAAAACTTGCCCCTGCTTTTCCTAACGGCCGGCGTAGTGCCAGTGAGCCGGCAGATGAGTCGGACTTGGATGAAGAAGCTGCCCTACGATATTATAAGATGATGGAGGAAAAGTTGAAACTCAAGAGGAAGAGAACTGAAGACCAGGATATGCTAGAAGAAGAACTGGTGCAGGAAGAAGAGGATCCAAATAAAAAGAGAGGGGTAACCTATCAGATGATCAAGAACAAAGGCCTCACCCCCAGAAGGAAGAAGATCGATCGTAACCCTCGGGTCAAGCATCGGGAGAAGTTCCGGCGGGCCAAGATCCGCCGGAAGGGCCAGGTCCGCGAAGTGCGGCGGGAGCTGCACAGATACGCTGGCGAACTGTCTGGTATTCGTGCGGGAGTTAAGAAAAGCAGAAAGCTTCAATGACTTTTTTTTTTCCCCCTCTGTTTCTGAGAGCACAGAGTAACAGTTCTGAATGCAATAAAAGTTTTGTAAAGGATATTGTAAAGGATATATATATTTTTTTAAGAGGATGCTTTTCAGAAGGCACCATTTCTAAAAGTAGCCCAGTGCCCCTTCTTCATCCTGCCTGTGTGTTAGTGTTTTCCTCTACTGCGATGCTGTCACCTCTCTATGATATAACAGGGGCTTTGCGAGATGGCAGGGCATATGTTAAACGGAGGCGATGACATGGATCATGTGGGACTTCACAGGGGAGGAACAGAAGAACTTGGGGATCCGGGAGGGACAGAGGGACTCCTGAGGGTGGGTTGAGAAAGGGAATCGTGCAGCTGCCACTACCTTCTCCCTCCTTTTTACTGTGTTACTCTGATCCATCTTCCTTCTGTGCTGAGCTGTAGAAAGAGATACATGGTTATGGCATTTCTCCTATTTTTTGCTCCAATTAGCTTATTCTGTTGCTCATACGGATAAGAATAAACTGATTTTAGGCTATTGTAAAGCTTTTGAACTTACTAACCAAGCTGTTACCTTTCATCCCATATGGCCTGAGATACTATTTCCTCTCCCTCTAAGTTCAGTGAGAAATGAAGCAGGGTTTCTTCTGGATTTTGTAGTTACCTATCTTTGATAAGTATGTTAATTGTCTGCCATTATAGATCTAGCATACTTAGCATTGATACAGGACAAACAGGTGAAACTTAACATTGTTTTTGCTTTGAAGGTAAAATTTCAAAATGTCTGGATTACTTCTGTGTCCCGGTTTATGTTTAAAATATGTTTAATCCCACGATGAAATTCTTGATGGGAACTGTCGTAGGATGATAGCTTACCGTGATGGCCAGTTCCAGTTCAGGTAGTAGAGTAACTGATTTATGTTAAAATTCGTTTCTTAGAAGTATAGCAAAGCTTGCAATAGCTCACTCTCTCAGGGAAAGATGTGTCCTTGTGTGCGTGTCCTTATATGTCGCAGATCCATGGGAAATGGAGCTATGTGTTGTAATTTCAGTTGGGCTGCTGGTTCAGTAGATAAGTGTATGGGGCAAAACCCTGACGTGACAAGTTCCATTGACTTTAATGGTCTTGCGTTTGCCCCCTGCTGCTCATAGACTGAACAACAGTTAAGTGCTACCTAATACCAAAACTGCAGCGTATAGAGCAGGTTCGTGTCACCCAGTATTTGGGATGGATCCCCTCATGAAACGGCCAGGGCGATCTTTACCTGCCTGCAGAGCAGGGGCATTTTGCAGGGCATTGGGTAATGGAAGCTACCACAAGGGCCTGAGGAGCGTTGGTGGCAGCCGTGGAGAGGAACTTCGCCTTTCAGATCAGCGCTGGGATTTGTGGCCTTGCTGGTAGCAAGTGTCTATATTGGAAAAGGAAGGATTGCAGGTAAATAAAGATTTATTTGTCACATTTTGAAGTCGTTGGGGGTGGGCCTGTGCATGCTTTTCATATGGCAAAATCCTTGCAAAGGGGGCAGGGATGTTAAGGTCAACAAACTCCAGAGGACAAGGAAATAGAGAGAGTCCTCCTTTGTGCATGCAAATGTGCCAGGAAAAGGCTCTTATATGAGGTCAAAAGCCTGAGTGTATTTGTAACAGTAGGTTTCTCTGATTGCGACTGCTGTGAAAGGGCAGTCACAGTCTGGAGTCCTGCAGTAGGCTTTTCCAGGGAAGCTGAGGCTAGCTCAGCTCCTCCGGAGGAAGCATGTTTTGAATCCTGGGCCTCTCGCTCTGCGAGAGCATCACCAAGCAGATGTGAGGCTTGCATAAAAAGGTCTCGGTACGTGTATGCTCATCTGAGCAATGCCATCTGTACTCTGATGGCATCAGGTGAGATCTCAAACCTGTTAGCTTGGGAAAATACGACAGCTGCTTCTCCTGTGCTTACACACTCTTGCGTACTGTAAGCAACAACTAAATGTGTCAGCTGCTTGCTGTCCTCAGTGAAAAATGCATGGCTTTCAGCTGGTGGTTATGTGAGACATGACAAGTCTGCTTCAAGATGAGAAGTTGGTTTCAACCTTTTCAAGGAGGGGAGCGGTGCTTTTTCCCAAAATTACACCTCTCATTAACTCTGCACTGGGATCAAGATGGAAGCAACTGATGATGTTGACTTACACTCTTGAGGCTTTGGGAAGAGGTCAGTAAAAAGTCATGTGCAGAGAGTCAAGAAGCAAAGGTCCTTCCTGGAGAAGTAAGGTATTGCATATCAGGCGTTACATGGGATGTGAAAAATACCCAGCAGAGATGGTAACTAATCTCGTTATGATAGCATTCGCTCATGTGCGTTTCAAAGACTTCATTCGAAAATGAGTGTCGCGTACAGGGGTGATGTACTTTTGTAGAACTGCGGGCCAGCTGAAAGCATTCAGGAAAGTTTTGTGTTAATTTTAAAAGCTATAGGCAGTTGGCAAGCAGAATCCTGGCAATTTCCATCTGAACAACAAATTAGGGAAACAAATTTCTGCACTATTACAAACTCACTTTCTAGAAATGTTGGTATGAAGGCTCAAGGCAAGAGCAAACACAGCATGTCAACAAGTCTACCGCAGGCAGCCAGCAGATGGCACAGCACATCTCGGACAACTGTAACATTAACCTGTTTTAATGTCGATGGAAAAACGGCGTTTTGTTCAGTTGGTCAGTTCAGAGAATGGACAGAGCCATAAATAGTTCTTTACAATGTATTTTATATATGGAATAATCCTGGAAGGCCACTGTTTACTATGGGAGGGGATGGACGCTGTAATCTTGCTCTAAAAGTGCTTCGTAATGTTTTGTGCTGAAGGGAAAAGAAATCACTGATGGTAAATAGGTCTTGAAGACTTCTATTTAAAAAAGAAGATGCATATTTTCGTAGGGA